TAATCAACAATTACAAATCCTTAGTTTTTAGTACAGTTTACTATCCAAACATATATTTATGTGCAATAAAATTAGTAATAGATTTTTCAATGTAAAATTTGTTTATTTTAGATGGGAAAATACAACGATTACTTCCTTGTGGTTGATAATATGCAGATCTGTAGAACATGTAATTGGGCGGTACCAAAACTAAAAGACTGCATAACTGCATCAATTCGGCATCATCTTCGAAGGAGACATCCAGAGCTTTATGCCCAGTTCAAGGACAAAGACGAACGAATCAAAACTGAAAAAAGGATAGCGGCCGAGCGAGCTATAGCAATCGATCAAAGTCTACAGCGAACCTGCAAATCTGAGCCGGAATGTAGTCCTGGATCATCGTCACAATCTCAACAATCACAACCATATCACAATGTTTGCAATTAAACACCAGCAAATTTTTCTAATCCGGAATCGGAGCAGCTCGATGTGGTAGATAGGGCTGTCATGCAAATGATATGTACTGCTATGCTACCACCGTCATTTGTGAATAATCCAGGATTTCGCAATTTGATGACCGGCACTGTTCCACATAAATCACAGGCTTCAAGGAAATTGCGCTTAACAAATTGTATCAGGAGTACTACTCAAAGACCAAAGCAATGCTAGAATCAGCCAAATATTTGAGTTTTTCTAGCGATGTGAGATTCCTAGGTGGAGAAAATGTAGGTAATGATTGCGGCACATTTCATTGACGATCATATGATGCCTCAGTCTGTGGTCCTTGGCGTGACGCTAATTCCTGACATGGCGACATCAGATGACCTGAATGTTTTGCTTTCAAAGGTTATGAATGACTATGACATTGAAGAAGAGAAGCTTCACATTGTTGCAAACAACTCGCCCTTAGAGAATGCCTTCACCATAGCAAATATCAAAATTCTAAATGGATTTTCTGAAAAATTAGAGGAGGTTAGTCTCAAATCGTTGAAAATAGCATCTAGCATTCCAAACAACATGAAACTCAAAAGCGAATCGCGAATCTCTTTTAGGCTCTTGATTACGGTATGGGTATGCTTCTGCTTCTCAATAGAAACCTAATCAACCGTTTAAACAACATCCAACACAACTTGCGCAAGCATGATTTGACGAAAAATTCGCATCCTTGTAGCAGATTAAGGTCAAAACCCTACGGTAAGCTTACAGAGGTAAGGTGATTCAATTTCTTGAGAAAAAGCTAAACAGTCTTGAATTTGGATTGAAAAGTAACAAATATAACATTTTTTTGGATGTTATCAACAATAGCCACAGCCTGAGGAATCAGAAATGACATGAGCTGAGATTGAGAAACTTCAATTTAAGGGATATTTCGTGAATTGTAAGCAATCAAATGCGCACTTTTTGGGTTTGTGCTTTACTGTACATCGATACCCTCCCTGAATTAGAGATTTTGATATTATAATACCAAATTTGCATTGATTGTGAGTGATAAATCTTCAATTAGCGGAGGGTTACCTCAAGGAACTAGAGCCTATCGCAGTATTTGTACCAGTT